CATACGCATGTACACACACACACACACACATACACACACACACACACACACACACACACACACAGACATCATATTATATGCAAGCATGTAAACCTATAATTCACCCCGTCTCCCCTCCCCTCCAACCCACTCCCACCCCATTTTCCAGCTGCCTTTCTTTTTATTATGATGTTTCTCTCTCGCCTGGCTGCGCCTTTCCATCCATTGTGAACTATTCCTCACAAACAGAGCTTTGTTTACTCAGCGTAATAGACTTCTGAATGACTGACTTCTCTGACGTAGAGTGAGACCGGGGTCGCTCATTTTAATGAATGAACTGACGTCGACACAGAGAGAAAAATGCTGGCTGCTGACGGACCAGACAGATTGCTGAAATTGTTTCCCATTCCTCTGAATTTGGAGAATTTTCTTGACTTGTAGTGTTGTGTATTATTATGTAGGTGTTAAACTGTTAAACCGAGTGTTTTGTATTAGCACTTGCTGCGTAATATTAGCACTTGCTGCGTAATGAGACTGAGACAAAGGAGGAACAGAAAGAAGGCGCAAAGAAGATAGAGAAGGAGGACGAAGAGGGGGAAAAAACACAAAGAAGAAAGGGAGGGGGAGGGGGGAAAGACACAGAGACGAGGAAGAGGAATAAAACGATGGAACAAAAGAGGTGGAAGAAGAAGAAGAAGAAAAAGAAGAAGAAGAAGAAGGCAGGTCCTCCAATTGAACCGAGCCATAATGGGAAAGTTCATGAATATAAAGTGCCTCTCCCAAGGGCACAGCGTTGAACCGTGCTGAGCCTCTGAAACCAGCCTCACGATTACGAGTCCGGTAGCATAATTACTACTAGACAACCGGCATAACCTAGAGTAGTCAGTAAAGTTCAGTAACACATTCTGGCAGTCGTTACATTCTTAGTCTGTTTTGAGCCGCATATTGAAATTTAGAGAAGTAGTATGAAGGACCACATTTTAAAACACACCAGTAATCCGCTGCCCTGCCAGAAGGCTGCCTACGTGACACTCATAATATGTCACATGTTCTATGCCAAAAGGATCTCTCTCTCTCTCTCTCTCTCTCTCTCTCTCTCTCTCTCTCTCTCTCTCTCTCTCTCTCTCTCTCTCTCTCT